AAAAAACAGAGCTCCAGATTTTTCACATTTGAAAATGTTAATTGTTCATTTTTACACAATTGACAAAGTTCTTCATGAGCATTATCTCAACCTATGAAGGTAGGCAGGAGATTTGGACTAAGGAACTACACTTTCCCCTTCCCAGGCACTTGCTTATCCAATCACTACTTTACAGATGAGGAAACTGAGACTCGGAGACATAACGTAAGAGCCCAAGTTCTTGCTAAGTAAAAATCAGAGCTGATAGTGGAACCCAAGTCTCTTTTCACTGTCCAATAGCTGCCTCTAATAAGATAAGGCACTTGAGTATAGAGGTAGAGTTTTACATTTCCTTTATGTTTCCCAAAATAGCACATCACTCAGTGCTGGTGAAGACTTGGGAGACAGATGTGGCAAGAAGCAAGAGTCTAGCCTGTTCTGTCAAATACTGGACCTTTGAAATTGGCTAGTCTGAATTCATTCATCTGTCTGACATCTGCACTTGACAGTTGAAAGAATTACATTAATTTAAAAACAAAGCAATACATTTATAATTCCCTCCCCAACTCCCAAATTTGGTCTTCTGGTGTCCTCAACCTGACAGAAAGACCCTCTCAGCCAGTCAGCTTCACAAGACACCATCCCGACACTTCCTCCTTTCTCCCCCTGAACATCCCACCAGTCGCTGGGTCCTGTCAATTTTACCTCCAAAATATAATTTTTGTTAGTGTTGTTGGCTGGCCAGTACTGGGATCAGAACTCTTGACCTTGATGTAACACCACCACAAAAATGCAATTTGAAACTTATTTGTGTACTGTGTCTTCCACTATCACCCTAGTCCAAGCCACCAGCTGATCGCAATGGTCTTCCAGTCTGCCTCACTATGCCTGTTCAACCCCCTCTAACCCATGGAGTAATATTTTCAAAACATAAACTGTATGTGTCACCCTCCTGCTTAAGACCCTTGTTTGGCTTCCCATAGCTCTAGGAACAAAGTCAAAACTCCTTCAGTGGCTTGACTGGCCAGGCGTGGCCTGGCCCCTGCCTACCACTCAGGCCTCAATGTCCTCAGCATGTCCTCATATCCCGGGCTCCCGGAGCACTGCCCTTCAGCCCCTTAAATTCATCATGTTTTCTTCCACCAGAGGGACTCTGCACATGCTGCTCTTTCTGCCTGCTCCCTGCCTTGTTTGCTCGTTAACCTTTATCTTTCAGACCTCAACTGTTACCTCGTCTAGGAAGCCTGTCTCAATCCCCAAGCTAGGTCAGGTCTCCTCTTGTAAATTCTCAAAGCACCTTTCCATTATAGTAACTATCACAGTTTGTAAGTATACACTTGTGTGATTATTTAACATCTGTCCCCCTTTAGATTGTAAGTTTCACGAGGGCAGGAGTCGCAGAACCCAGCAGAGTGCCTGGCACATGGACAGGAATTCCTGAGCAGTGACTCCCCCTTATAGAGTTACACATCTGGTCTAGGGTGTAGGTGCAGAACCCAGGACTATGCTGAGCTGAGCACAGGACCAGGGGTTAAGGCTCGACAGCCAGCTCTGGTGTGATTGCTGGGACCCAATTTGCCTCCTTTGCCCTGTCTGAAATATACACATGATCTTTCTGCCTGAGCTGCTCTGTAACACAGGCATGCGTGTGCAGCCTGCTCTCTCCTATGCACTCATGCACAGAAGGCCAATTTGTGAGTTTCTGGCAGATGAGGGCCACATGTGGAAAGAATTCCAAGGACACTCTTATCAGGGAGGTAACGGCTTCAGAGGAGATGAATCAAGCAGATATGGGTTCAAACGCTGAAACTTTGGCCAAGTTATGTCAAAGTCACTGAGTCTCTATTCCTTATCTGTAAAACTAGGATGGCCATAACCACCTCACTGATCGGCTATGTTAGAAAGGAATAAAAGTGAATGGGTGTTTGCCAAATGCCCAACACAGTGCCTGCCCTCCCCCACACTTAGCAAATAAACAATAAATGGTAGGCAAGGGTACATACCAGGGCTATGTACCAGCCACGCCTAGAAGAATTCCAGGACTAATTAGAAGACAATTCATGGTGTACCTCAGGCTGCTGCAAACACACTCAGGAAAAATGTAATTTTTAAAACAAACAGGCAAACTGCTTCTCTGTCCTTTGAGTGGAAACTCAGCAGACTGTGTAACAGGTCAGCTTCACCCTCCCATTCCGATCCCGACGGTGCACCTGTTCCTGGGCAACCTGGATAGGGGTGGGGAAGGGCGGGAGCAGAGGGTGGCAGAGGAGAGCAGGATGCAGGCGGGGGAAGCCCAGGGAAGGCCCGCCTGGCAGGGGGCACACATCGTGGAGCCAGAAGACCCAGGTTCTGTTTTGTCTGCACACGCCCTAGCTGGGTGACCCAGCACAACTCCCTTCACTTTTCTAGGCCGCCATTTCCTCATTTGTAATTAGGGACCATCATGACTTGGCTGTCAATTGAAAAAAACAAACCAAAAAACCATGTGGGTTAGAGAGTTTGACAGTCAGGAACAATTCCAGGGGCCACTGGGGCTCCTTTCTCTGATCTCTCACCTGGAGAAGCCCTGACTCCAGGCCACGAGAATTCAATCTAATCTCCTTCCACTCAACCAGCATTTGAGAAGGGGTGAGGTCCAGGACCTGCTCCCGGTCACATGCTCCACTTGGAAGGCCATCGTTAGTTAACTGGCTGAGCCCCCACCAGAGCCCTCAGAGAGGCGAGCCCACCTCTCTGGCCTCAGCTCACAGGACCAAGGCGGCCCAGGCCCACCTGATGTGAGCTGGACCAATCAGAGTCTCTCTCCTGAGTGTCTGGAATGGGAGTACCGGGTCTCCTCAGCTCCTGTGGTGCCTCTGAGAATGACATGAGGCTGCACCACGGCCGCAGTGCATATAGTGGGAAAAGCTGGTCCAGGAGGGGCAGTGGCTCACGTGGCCCAGGGACTGCTGGGGAGAGAGGCTGCCATGGGTCCCAATGGCTTCCCTGACCTTGGTTCCAGTCCTGGGGAGAGACCTGGCTCTTCTGTCCCTGGCAGTTACCTTACCTCTACTTCCCTCTAATCACACCTTCCCTTGGGCATCTCCTGTTGCTTACAAATTACTTAGCCTCTCTGAATTTGTCTCTTCCCCTGTGAAGTGGGTAGATCATAATGCCTACTTTGCCATGACTGGCTTGAGGATGCGCTGCAAAGGGCTGACCAGGGGCTGCTGAGGCCTGGGTGGGAGCTGCAGACTACAGGTGAGGATGGAATCTAGGTAGGGCGTGGTCCCAGCCAGACCTGCTCTGTACCCAACACACCCACCCATTTGCCTGAACCGTCCTCCCCTCCCCCCAGAGATACCTTGGTGTCCTATCCGGTACTCAGAATGTAACTTTTTTTAAGAGATAGGGTTTTTACAGAGGTAATCAAATTAAAATGAGGCCATTAGGGTGGGCCCTAATCCAATGTGACTGGTGTCCTTCTAAAAAGGGGAAATTTGGACACAGAGACAGACACGCACATACGGGGAATGCCGTGTGAAGATAAAGGCAGAGATCAGGGAATATGTCTACTACCCAAAGCATGCAAAGACTGCCAGCAAACCACCCAAAGCTAGGGGGCAGGGATGGAACAGATGCTCTCTTACAGTCCTCAGAGTGAGCCAGCCCTTCCAACACCTCAATCTCAGACTTTTAGCCTTCAGAACTGTGAGACAATCAATTTTTGTTGTTGAAGCTATCCAGTTGCGGTAATTTGTTAGGGCAGCCTGAGCAAACGGAAATGCCCTGCCCTTCTGTAGCGTTTGTTTCCAGGAGTAATTGCCCTTAGCTATCTAGTTTCCAACTGGAAAGGACTGAATCAAATAATCTAGTCATTTTCCAACCTTGACTAAACAGTAGACCATCAAAAACACCCTACCCTGGACTAATGAATTCAGAATCTTTGGGCGTGGGACCAAGGCGTCTGTGATGCTCTCAGGATCTCAGGATCCCAGCAGGCCAGGCCTTCCTCTCCTTCCCCAACACTGCTAACACCAGTCTGCCAGGCAGGGGACCAACCTGTGATGCAGAACTTCTCATCTTGGCGAAGGCAAGACTTGGGACACCCAGTCATGGCCAGAATGAGGGCCAATGGATGAAGACTGAAAGGAGACCGGTTCTGATGCAGAGAATTAAGAACAGTGTGTGTATAATGGACACAAGCACGTACTCTGCATCAGACAGACTTGTGCTCAAAAGTTAGCTCTGCCGGTAACAGCTGTGTGGCCTGAGGTAAATTACTTAATTTCTTTCAGCCTCAGTTACAGTGCCTCTGAAATAAGGATACTATCATAGTGCTGTGGCAGCAGAATAAAGTGTAAATGAGACAATACCTGTAAAGAGCTTATCACACTTTCTAACACTTGGAGATCACTCAATACATATTAGCTATTACTAATGAGAATTCTTTGAAGATACACAGAGTTGCTTACTTAGGCAGTGAGCTTCCTATCCCCATGGTGTGTGAACAGAATCTGGAGTTGTACCAGGGACTGAAGCAGTCATCTGGGCCTGGGAGCTGGAGTGGTGTGTGGAGGAGGCTGGTTCTTCCAGCCCAAATCACATGGTAGGTGTGGAACTGTGATGAGCATTAGCTATGGTCTGAACGTTGTTGTCTCACCACCAAAATTCCTGTTCTCTTTTCTGAGAGCCCACTCGTTATGGTAGTCACTGCTGTGATTCTATTCAGATGCCAGCGAAGTCAGGCCTGACAGTGGGGCCACCTCAGCCTGCACAACCTCGAGGGGTGGGAGCTGGCTGGGTTTGCCCTTTGTAAAGCTGGGCTGCAGGACTCAGGGTCAGGCCTGGAAGTTGGGGTCAGTAAATGCGTGTTGAACAGGAGGACAAAGGAAGGAGTGAGGTGGCATGACCTCCCAGTGATTCTTTTGGGGACACTTTACTGGATACCTGAAGGCACTTGGAAGAGGGTCACAGAGTGATCAAAAGATAATTCAGGCACACACATGACTGGGTACCACAGATCAGGGTACAATGCTCCTCCAAAGAAACTAATGGGCCAATTCCTCTTCATCCTTTAGGTCTTAGTATAAATGTCACTTCTTCCAGGAAGCCTTCCCTAATCCCTCGGCACCAGGTTAAGGATCCCAGTTGTTTTCCCATTGCTCTCTGTTCCTGTCTATCAACACACTTATTCCACTCTGTTGTAATTCCTCTTGATTAATAGTTCATCCTAGATCAGCTGTCAGCTATGTGAACATAGGGGGCAGGTCCGTCTTGGTCACCATTGAATTCCCAAAGCCTACTGCAGTGCCTGACACCAAGGCTTTGCATAAACACCTGCTGAATGAATGTCTTCAGGTAAGTCCCTTAACCTCTCTGAGCCTCAGTTTCCCAATCTGTTAAATGGAGACTAATAGCACTTCTTTGCAGGATTACTGTGAAGATGAATTGAAAGCAGCTGTTACGTGCCTGGCACAAAGTAAGTGCTCAGTAAAGTCAGCTATTGTTCTCTTGTAATTGTTATTAACATTTATAAAATCTCAGGAGATACTGGCTTTTCTTCTCTTTGGTTGGCTGAAGGCTATTATTAGTGATCTTTCTAAACCAGTCATCTGGCTGTCTCTCCTGGCTATGTCTCCCCTGGCTCTGAAAGACCTCAATAATCTGGTCCCAACTTTCTTTTCCATCCCATCTCTCATGACTCCTCCCCACCCCCAATTCCAGTTGCACCAAAACTATGGAACATTCCACACTGGGCCTTTATCCACTCAACCTCAGTTCAGATCACACCCTCCTTGTTCTCAGGTTCCTGCTCACTCTTCAAGGCTCATTTTAAATGTCACCTCCTCTGCCAGGCCCTACGAGGCTCCCATGGCACAGCTCACAGCCTTCCTTGCACTCAGATGAGTGACTGCCCACCTCCCCTGATAGAAGGGACAGCAGACACCACATTGTGCTTGGGTCTGATCACTAGCACACAGCAGTATGTGACATGAGGGATGGCTCATTCAAGTCGGGGCTGTCGAATTAAATTGACCTGATGTAAAGGACAAGTTCTCGTTCAAGACTCCCTGAAATCCCATCCCAAAGAATGCAGAAGACTTGGTTGATAGAGAGTGGAAAGAGCAAGTCCGATGTTCTGCTTTTAGGCACTGGCCTCCAAAAGGCACATGATTCGTCCCCTCAGTGAGCCTGGGCCAGGGATCTCATATTAGCACAGAAGGGCAAACAACTGAAGGAGCTTCATGTTAGGTGCCCTCACCAGTGCCTGGCACTGGTATAAAGGTCTATCAGAGGAATTATTCCAGCACCCACCACCCAGCTCCAAGATCTTCCCAAGCTCCACTACTTTAACTGTCAGATGACTCGTTAGACTGAATATGAAGAAATTGACATGAGTTGAAAACCCTGTTTTAACTAAAGAATCATCATCCCTTCCACTGGTCCCCATAGAGAGAAGGTGCCTATGCTCATGACTCCTCAGTGCTCAGAACTTCTCCCCGCTCACCTGACTACCTCCTACTTTGCCTTCAAAGTTTCTTCTTCAAGGAGTTCCTCCCCACTCAAGAGAGAAGGTGCCTATGCTCATGACTCCTCAGTGCTCAGAACTTCTCCCCACTCACCTGACTACCTCCTACTTTGCCTTCAAAGTTTCTTCTTCAAGGAGTTCCTCCCCACTCCAAACTGAGCTAACTGCCTTTCTCAGAGCCCCCAGGGCATCTAACATCACCTCCAGGCTATGTGATCCCTTGGCGTGCTGTTCCAGGCACAGCTGGTGTTCAGGAGCTACTTGTTGAGCCTGACCAAACTTCAAAGCAAAGCAGTATTTTCTTCTTCCCTAAACCTGGCGAGAAAGTAGTTACTGGTTTGTCATGATAGAACCACAAACAAGACATAAACAAGACTGTAGGACACAACAGTGGGTGTTCTGAGAACAGAAGGTGGGAGATGTGGGCACTTCCTACAAACTGTTTCCCCTGGACCAGCCTAATGAAGGGGACCTGGACACAGTAGGTCCCTGTCTGGCCACACATTACAATCACCCAAGGAGCTTAAAAACAAAACAAAACGGTGCCTGGGTCTTGTCCTGAGAGAGACGGATTTAACTGGTCTGCAGTAGGGCATGGGCATCTGTTGTTCTTACAAGCTCCCCAGGTGGTTCTAACAAGCAGCCCTGGTTGAGAACTGCTAAGCTCACACACTCTCCTCGCCCTGTGCATGCAGAGAAGGAGGGTGGCCTCACATATGGGCTTACTGGCAGTGCTGGGACTGGAACCGGTCTTCTCTCTAGGCCCTAACCCCCAGCCAGCTGGGTATTCTCTGCAGCAGGGTTCCTCTGGGGTCAGTGTGGCACAGACCTGAGATGCCCCCCCGGTGTGCCTGGGCAGGGGGAAAGGCCAGTGAACTTCCTTGACTGGCTGGACACATGAGCAAGGAATATCCTGTGCTCCTTTATGGTCCAGTGTGTCATTTTCCCTTAGCCCACAGCCTTCCCAGCCCAGCAAATCAGTTACAGGAGAAAGTCATTTTCCAACTTTGAACTTGCCAGTTCCCCCTCCCTTCTATTACCCCCCCGCCACTGGCTCTGGGCAGCCACTGCCTGGCCTATTGAAACTCAGGTGATGGCCCCCCCACCTTTCTGAACTGAGGGGGCAGCCCTGCTGACCTCTGATTTGCTTTGGGGGTTGTTCATCTCCTTTCTTGAAGAATAGTAGAAAAGTAAGTATTTTCCTACCCCAAGCCCATTTTCCAGGGAAAACCCAGGTGCGGGGAGGCGATCATGGCGAGTGTGCAGGCTGTGGGGGTCCAGTGTCATGGGGTCTCTGAGTGGGGCTCCAGCTGAGTTCCCAGCAGGTGCGTGCTAAGTCCACACCCACTTCCTCATCTCTTGCCTAGCACACCCAGACCCAGCCAGGCCTCCAGAGGAACTGTGCATGTATTTCATGAGTACCAGCTGCATGCATGTGATGCTCTTCTCCACCCTGTCCTCCTGTACACACTTACTCATCTTTCAAGACTCAATCTCACCTCCATGAAGCTTTTCCTGACTCCCTGGATAGGATGCCTCCAGTGTCTGGCACAAGCAACACACATCCTCTCTGGAAAGACTCAACTTCAATTCAGGCTAGCAGAAACTGTAGCGAAGCTATTGATCTGTAACACGCATCCCGACTCTAGACATATTAAAATGTTAAAAGGAAAAAAGAGTCTTACAGCTGATGAAGTATATAGCTGGCCTTAGGTGCTGGGGATAAAGGAGAATGGAGGGTCTCCTGGCCTGAAGCTCCCCACCCCCAGACCAGCAGGGAGTATACTCAAGAAGGCCTTGGAGATCAGGAATGAAGAAATTTGGGTGACTTTCTAGTTGACTGCACCCCTCCCTCAATAGCTTCAATTCAGTAAGCCCGGCCTTTTTTGAGCACTAACCCTGTGGGGAGGAGGTGTGTATGCATGGGGCCCTGCCAGCCTAGGAGCTGGCACCTCCTCCATACATGTGATATCACTAGCACTACACACGTCACCCCGTGTTAGGGGTCTGTCTGTCCTCCGAGTGAGGGCTGAAAGCTGAAAGCTTAAATGTCCATCAAGAGGAGGAGCTGGCTAAATAAAAAGTAGTATATTTATATGATGACATATGTATGTTGGAGTGAGCGGGACTGAAGCCTGCTGGGACCTAAAACTGCATGAGATCTAAAAGGTTTTGAAAGGACACAGTTTTTTTCTTGGCATGCATTTTTCTGAATTCCCTTTTCCCATGGTTATTTGATATTTTGAACCTTGGTTATGGGGCAAGATCACATTATTTACATAAATATAAAGTTGTTTTCTAGCCATCCTGGAGCTGCAGACTTGCAGACTTGCAAATACTATCCAGATCCTGGGAAACCAAGGAAGACATCAATAAAGCTATGCTGATTCCACCCCTCCAGCAGGACCCTAAGATAACAGCAAGGATGGGAGGAGAAACCAGTTGGAGCTTTGGCAAGACCTTGCACCTGGAACCTTGAATGGGGTCCCTGCAGCTCATGTCCCCCTCCCTCCTGATTTTCATTTCCCATGTTCCATTCCCTCAGCCCCCTTTAAAAAAAAAAAAAAAACCCTCAATAAATCTGAGTCTTTGAGATGGTTTTAGTCTGGCCATTCTCGTTCAGGTTTACTAGAGAGATGGGTTGGCCTGACATCTCTCCTCAGGTCACCAGGATTCCTGAATAAAGCTGACTTCCATTTTCACTAGTGTTTGACTTTGAGTTGTTTATTTTTGGAAAGGGGCAGGCAGCCCGACCTGTGCCCAGCAAATTGTATAGCAGATGAAAGGAATGCACAAGATCTCTGCTTATGAACATGGACAGAGCTAAAAAAAAAAAAAAAAAAAATTGGTGTGAACTAAGTTGCTGAATAAAAAGTATAGCACGATTGCATTTTTTAAAAGTACACTGAAAAACCACATTTTTCCAGTAGGTACATTTGTCCGTTTGCAAAACTATTTTCTGTAAATCTGAAAGAACAGTGCAGCTTGAGACCACACCTCACTCATCTCTGTTTCATCAGGGGCCAGTGCAGAGCCTGAGGCAGAACAATAGGTGCTCGGGAAATGTGTGCTGCAGCACCTGGTGACTAGTGGGGCCTTGTCCTGGAGTGATGGATCCAGGAGTCTCCTGTAGGGTCTCAAGGGCATTCCTCCCACACTGGCCTCTCTCCCCTTCCCAGCCATCTCCACCGTCAGCTAAGCCCAGAACCCACAGCTCCATTCTGATTGTGGTGGCTCTGGGTCTGTCCACACCCTCCCCAGAACCAGACTCAGCCCTGACCCTGTTCCTCTGTTCTCCCGGAGACAGGGTGGTGAGTGACTCACTAGGCCCACCCATGAAAAGATGTGCATGCAAGAGTGTTTGTGTGTGAGTGTGCGTGTGTGCTGGGAGAGCTTACTGCTTCTTAGAAACTGTGGTTGGAACAAAAGAAGTGAGCTGACGTGGGCTCAGGCCATTAACTGAACTATCTTCCTTTAGTCTTAGATCATCTGCTTCCAAACCAGAGGGAGTGCTGGGTACCTATCGGCCTGATGGCTAATTTACTGTGTTGAGAGCTAGGAAGGGTCATGAACCAGGGTCCTAGAAAGGTGCTCTACCCTGGCCTGCCAGCTTTCTGAGGGGACAAACCTTTACGTCCTTGTCCTAGTCAACTCGGACTGCTATGACAGATTACCATAGACTGGTGTACTTAAACGACAGATACTTATTTCTCATGGTTCTGGAGCCCTGCAAGTCCAAGATCAAGGCCCCAGCAGATTCAGTTTTTGGTGAGGGCCCTCTTCCTGACTTGCTAATGGCCATTTTCTTGTGTTTTCACATGGTGGAGAGAGACGGACCTTTGGTTTCTCCTCCTCTTGTTATAAGGACACTAATCTCATCATGGGGGCCTCGCCCTCAGTATCTCATCTAAACCTAATTATCTCCCAAAGGTCCCAGCACCAAATTCCATCACGTTGGAGGCTAGGGTTTCAACATATGAATCTTGGGGTGGGATACAACCATTTAGTTCATAACAGTGCCATTTATAGAGGAAAGGCTTCAAATGCAGGGTGTTTGTGGGCATGCTTTACACAGATTTCAGTGTAAATGACGGATGACTTTCTGGATGGAAGCTTCTGACAGGCTGGAGAGGCAGGGAGTGGAGGGAGCTGGTGAGAAGGAGAAGGCCCACTCCACATCATTAGTACTGGCCCCAAAGCACAGGCCTCATTCAGGCAGGAACACATTCATTCAACATGTTTTAAGGGGTACACCCTGGCTAGCACTGGGTAAGTGCTAGAGACCCAGAGCTGAAAAAGGGTGTTTGTCCTCCTGGAGCTCACATCTGTGCAGGAGACAGATAGTCAATGGATATTGCAAACTTTTGTCCTCCAGGTTTTGCAATGTGCTGTCCTCTGTCTGGGACACCCTATGTTCCCTCTGTCCCTTTCTCTCAGCTATTTCTACGTGTTAGGTCCAGGTAGGTGTGGCTCCCTTTGGGAGGTTTGCTCTGGTTCCCCAAGTCTGGGTTCTGAGCCTCTAGAGCTCCTCTAGCATGGTTCCTCCTGTTTTGCAAGGCTTGCCACTCCAAGGCTGGCACTCTTGTGTGTCTCCCCATTGGACCCTAAGCTTTCTGAGGACAAAACTGTGAACCACGTGTCCTCTGTACCCACTATGGCCTGATTCCTGCAGGAGAGGATTACAGTCAATGAAGGAGTAAATGAATGATTTATACACCTTAGCGAATGTCAGAGGCATCTAGTAGTGATTGAAAGCATGTGCTTGGGGTTTGCAAGATAATAGAAAAGGTCACTGCAAAGCCAAACATACCCACCCACTTGCCAGACTAACAACCAGCTATTTCTTGCTCCACACAGCCACCAGAGGAACATGCCTCATCCCAGTCTTACTGGGTTTCTGACATCTGCAGCCTCCAAAGCTGGGCTCCAGCCAGAGAAGGTTAAATGTCAAAAGTGCTAGATTGCCCGGTTTGAATCCTGGCTTCACCACTGACTAGCTGGCCACCGTGTACAAGTAACATAACCTTTCTGTAACCTCGGTTTCCTCACTGGTGAAACAGGGATAAGAGAAGCGCTCATTTCATAGAGCTGCCTTGAGGGCTAAATGATAGGATTCTTGAAAATTCCAAGGGATGGTGAACACGTAAGTGCTAATAAGTGCTCTCCCTTACTTCAGGTCCTCTCACCTCCAGTGGTCCTCCTCTGACCTAAGTCTCACTTAACTAACCCGTAAAATGGAAATGATAATAATGATTAAATGAGAAAGTAAAACTGCATTATACTCTGCCGTTTGCACCCACGGAAGTTTGTGGGACTGCGAGATGCACTCACACTCATCAGACCAGGGATTCCAGCGCCAGCCCACCCAGAGCCACCTGCTCGGTGCAGAGTGGTGAGGACCATCCCCTGCTTGAGGAATTCAGGCCCCTACGCCCAGCCCAAACGCGCACGCACATCCCTCTTTGCTCGTGAGCAGGCTGCTGCGGGGTCGTCTCAACGGTGGGGATGACCCCCAGAAGGGTGGAGAGGTCCCCGCGGTAGGGGACGGGGTGCGTGCGCCCTTGGGGGCTGCAGTCTGGTTATTCCAGGAAAAAGAAATGTAAAAGTGTTGCAGACGAGGCTGCCACCGGACGGGGAGCCGGTTATCTCCGGACCGGCTTCCGGCTCTGATAACTGCGGGCCGGGCTCGCCGGTGGGGCGGGCGCCCGCAGTGGCCCAGAGCGCCGGGCCCGGGCCCCCCGGGCCGCAGTCGGCACGGAGCTCGA